AAAAAAAAAAAAAAAAGCTTTTGTGCAGACTGTTAGGAGATTCCTTCTGGGCAGACACTGCTTGCTGGTAAGACAGACTCTTGTGAAAGGAGAAGAGGAAGTTCCTTTTCAGGTGATGCAACCCTGTGCCACACCACATGGCCTCTAAGAGGAATGCTGCCTGCATCTCAGTTCCTACTTTTCTTCTTGGCTAAGTACCCTTATGAGGTCAACCCAGTCTGGATGTATTTTAGTATTCTTTTAACTAGCAGCTCGGAATCCTAGCCCTTGCTCAATGTCCCTATGACACTCAGATCGACCTCCCTCCCCTGGGCCTTTCCCATAGGGAAAGCAGGGAATTTCAGGCACATGGTGAGGAGAGCTGGGTGCACACACTGCAAACACATAGCAGGAAGAGCTGCACACACACGCCCAGTCTCGTCTCCCTACCTCTCCCACGTACTCCATGACGAAGCTGTTTTTGCGGATCTTTTCCAGTGTGCGGACGCCCCAGCCACGCCCATCATCTGTGCGGAAGATGCAGAGGTCATAGCGGATGCCCTTCTGTACCACACGATTAGGACAGTCATAGCCACAGTGGCAGCGGGAGTTGCACTCGTAGATGGGCAGCCCAGCTCGTAGCCGTACCTGGCCTTGGTCATTGTAGGCAAACTTGTGCATTGATGCTCCTGGGCAGCAGCCCCCAGTGGGTGCCCATAGACAGTCCTGGCACTCACAGCCCACAGCTACCTGATTGAGGGTGATGCCTTCACCAACACGGTACTCATTGATGTACACAAAGGCCTTTGGGGGGCCATCCAGGTCCACCTCATTCTCCACGGTGATACGTCCCAGATGGCTACGCTTGGCATTGAGCTCTTGCTCCCAGCGCTGGAGCGCCCGCCTTTGCTTGGCTTTCTGTACCAGGTAGTTGGCCAAACTTGGGTCCAGGTGCCGGGGAGTCTTTGACCGGCGGTGGCGCCGGAGCAGCTCCCTTTCTAAGTCCTTATGGAACTGCTTGAGAATACGTACACACTTGAGATTCTGCCGTGGCTCCCAAGTGCTCTCTGAGTCTGGGTATCCACGCCACTTCACCAGGTAATACTCCTGTTCCTGTTGGGGGATAAGAAGGGATCCGGGGCACTATAAATGGCAAGATCCTTGGGCCATCCTCATGGGACTTCCATCTCAAAGCCAATGGGTAACTCCTACCTCACCCCTTTTCCGGAATGACTTCATGCAGTGGTTAAAAAGCATAGGCTCTGGAGTGAAGATTACTAGATTCAAATCCTGCTCTCCCTGTTACTTCTCTATTCAAATTTCAATTTTGAATTTAATCTCCCAAATCCATTCCCTCCTCTGTCTTCCCCATCATCAGTTCCTTCCTAGCTGTCCAAGCTTAAACTCCCAGAGTCATCCTTGATTCCTCTTTTCCTCACTCCCTACATCCACCATCCGTATATCCCATCAGTCCCACCTTCAAAATACATCCAGAATCTGACCCTTTCAAACAAACCTTCATGACTGCCTGGACCCTGACAGGAGCCTCCTCACAGGCCCTGGGGCCCTATAGGCTATTCTTCATACAGCAGCCACAGGGAGCTTTAATTGCTGAAAGGCAGCTATAGGATAGAGTGTAACAGCACAGACTCTACACTTAGACATCCTGGGTACAAATCCTGAATCCATTGCTCCCTACATATGCCGCATTAGGCAAGTTATTTAACTTTACTGGTCCTTAATTTCCTCATCTAAAAATAAGCAAAAACCTAATATTTTCTAGTATTCATTATGTAGTAGGTACTTAAGCATCTTACAAGTATTATTAATTATATAGTCCTCACAATTTGATATGAGGTAGATACTACTTATGCCCATTGTACAGATGAGGAAAATGAAGTACTGAGAGTTTAGGTAAGCAGTCTGGGGTTATATTCAGGATTTGAACCCAAGTATGCTGGCTCCAGTGTGTTCTCTTAACTCTTCTGCCAGTACCTCTTCTGGCAATGATAACTATCCCCACTCCACAGTGTCATTAGGGGGATTAAATGAGTTTCTGGGAGGAAGTGCTTGGCACAGCGAAAGTGCTCAATAAATGGTCAGCTATCAATATCTCCACTGCTGGGCTCAGCAACTGGTTTGTATTCCTAGGGAGGTGGGAAGAGAGAATTATTTGGGATTCATTCTGGCTCCTGTTCCTCTCAGAAAACTTAGTTTCTCCATCTGTAAAATGGGGATTAGTGGATTTATTCATCCTATTTTTTTTCAGGATCAGAGAAGAAAATTCCCTGTGGAAACAGATGTGGGCAGTGGGGGGCAAGAAGGCAGGAAACCAATTTCTTTCTTTCTTTCTTTCTTTTTTTTTTTTTGCAGTTTTTGGCCAGAGCCAGGTTTGAACCTACCACCTCTGGTATATGGGGCCAGTACCCCACTCCTTTGAGCCACAGGCACTGCTTGGAAACCAATTTATGTGAGACCTGCCCCCTCCCAGGACTTGGTCACCCCAGACTCACGCGGATCTTTTTGTAATCACACAGGTACTCCACTTCAAAGTCATAGAGGTTCCTCTTAGAGATACCAAGGCCAGGGCAGGAGACCTTGGCCAGGCGGCACAGGTCCTGCAGCTGATTCCAAGAAGACTTGCAACACACACTGCAGCCTAGAATAAGGGTGCCAAAAGAACCATTAGTGGGCAGCCTGACCATGCCAGGGGTCCAAAGGGACCCCAAATCATCCCCAGAACATCTTAAGGACTGCCTGAGAGTCAGGGAAATTTACTTTGCAGGACTTTCCCAATGCTGAGACTCTTCTGCAGTAGAAATGTGCCATTTCCTTAAAACCTCAATGCTCACTGCCCAATAGTACCCTTGGAACGGTGGACCTCTAAGTAGGGTTTGCTGCATGGACTGTTCTAAGGGAATCTATTCCCAGAGCTCAAACTCCCTCTACACCAGCAGTTCTCAAGCTGTGGGTTTCGACCCACAGGAACTGTATTAAAGGGCTGCAGCATTAGGAAGGTTGAGAACCACTGTTCTACACTATTCCTAAAACTGCCTGCAAACGTACCTAGAATTCAAGTCTAGATTACCCTTCTTTCATTTTGCAAAAGAAAGAGAACAACACCCCCCCCCCATCTTGGTAGGGTGTATTGCCCTGGTGGGGGGATGGGGTATGGGAGATTAAAACCTTCAGGGCACCACAAATAAATTAAGTGTAACTGGAAAGACTGGTCCTTAATCCTTTATCTGAAACTCCTGGGCCAGATGAATTTTGGAATTTAAAATTTTTTTTAGATTTTACAAGTATAGTTCTAGGATATCCCATAAATCACTCCCATGGTCAGGGGCATCAAGCTATAATCAAACACATTAAATAGCTCTGCAGCAAAAGTATGAATTTCCCACATCAAATAGGAGAAGTAAAGATGTAAAGCAGGCTCAATAAATAGTCCCACTTTATAATCTACTTTCACCCTGAATGGTGCTAATTTTAAGAAAAAGATAACTTTCAGGACTTTGTCAATTTTGGAATTATGAATAAGAGATTGTTGAATGACAATACATTACAGGAAGGTTCCTTGAAAGATCAATTTGGGTGCCTTAAACCCACAAAGTATATATTTTTTTCATACTGCATTTTGACTTTGTCTCATCCACATTTCTTTGAAGGATAAAGCTTGTCCAAAGGGTATGATCTGAATTCAGGAACAAGTAAAACAGTATAGGTGAGTGACATTGTTTCTTTTAAATAATTATAATACTGGAGCTACCAAAATATTTCAAGACACACACAAAAATACATATTTCTTTGGTTCAAGGCACCTTCTTAGCGTGCTTTAAAAGGCATTTTATCAAGTCATGTCATAAAACATTCCAAATGTAGCCAGTATTCATCCTATTTCATGTTTTTAAAATGCTATTTTCTACTTCCTATTACAAAAATCTTTAAAGTCATGATGAAATACTATAGATGTCAACCTAAAAATGAGAGCTTTTCAAAATTATTTCACTCCTCCCTTTAGGCAAGGCCTAGTGGAGACTGAGCCTGTCTGTGCCCACGCTTTTCTCTCCCTTCCAAATCCCTTAACTTGCATTTGAAACCCCACTTAAGTGTTCCCAACTAACATCTTCAGCTGCTCTGCCCGCTCCGCACTGACCACAACTGGGTTTTCCTACCCCTGGGAGGGTACCCTCACACTTGTGGAACCCATCCTCCCGGCTTTCCTCATGCAGAAGAGCCCCCCCATTCTGAGTCACCCCTCTTTCCCTGCCCACAGGGGAGACCAGCTCTCCTATCAGGAAGGCCCCATTTCCCTGTACTTCACACCCTTCTCCATCACGCTCAGAGGAGATATCCACCCCGCGAAGAGTCGCCTGTCCCCCTGCTCTGAGTGGGGAGCCTGTCCCCCTTCTCGTCCATCCCCTTCCGGCGTCTTGCGTGGACACCGAGTCGGTAACGGTCACCAGTGGCCGATTTTCCCGCGCGCGGGCGCGGCCTCCCCAACAAACCCCCGTGCGTGCGCGCGCCGGTCCGGTCGCGATCTGTGGTGCGCGCCCCCCTCATGCATCCCCACTTAGCCCCGCGCCTGCCGCGCTCCCAGGCGCGCGCCCCCTCCCCTCAGCCCCGCCCAGCCCCGCACGCCAGGCCTGCGCTCCCGGAGCCCTATCTTTTCCGTGCCGAGCTTCCGGCTCCCGGCCCCGTGGCCTCGGACGCTGAGATCCCGAGCCCGCGACGCCATCCCTCCAGCCCACTCGGCCCGGCCGGCGGGCCCGCGCCTCTACCGCCACAGCTTCACCTTTTAAATTTTCCGCCATCTTTCCCCACGGCTAACGACATTCGGGCCTAGCCGGCCTCGCGAGAAGAGAGCTCGCGCGGGCGTGGCCGGGAACGCGCAGCCTATTGGCCGCGGCTCGCCGCGAGCAGCACCCGCGCGAACCAACCGGCAAGCCGTGGCCGGACCCCTCCCCGCCGCCGGGCTCCGTCCCGGAGGCGGGTGCTCGCCGCGCTTTCCCAGAGTGCGTCTGGGCGGTCGCAACGGCAACGGCAGCTGAGATTGCCTGAGGACCTGCCCGCATGCCGGTCTGTCTGTCACGCTCGTAGCCAATCACGTCGTCAGCCAGTCAGACGGGGGATTCTCCTTTCCGTCAGACCCCCAGTTACCACCGTCAGTCAGTCCGTCATCACAGATTAACCCCTAGCAGGCCGTGACTCGTAGGTGGACTAGCTCTACATCCGGCTGTTTAGGCTGTCACCCTATTCAAATCAGACAATGGCTCGCTCACCCCAGGCAGGTGCCTAGTCAGATCCACCCCCCATTCACACTGTAGATCAATGGCAGCAATCTATTTGTGCCCTCAGGCCAGCTGTGATTCTTTGGAGGCGGAGAGAATGCGCTGTTAGCCAACCTGTCATTTCCTCAGACCATCCTGTCTTCACATTATCTGCCGACCAATCAGCTCTCCTACTCTTGCCCTGGGACCAGCTGCAATTCTCCCTGGAATAATCCTCTCTTAAGTTAGAGATCTAGCCACGCCCTCGGGCAAGCTGTGATTAGGTTGGGACAAGATGTCATTGTCAGTATCTAATACAGCTCTGTCCAGCTGTCACACTGTTAGGTGGTCACTGTAGTTCTCTCAGATTACTTCTAGTCCACACTACTATCAGTCACAACACCTAGCTAGGGCCTCACAGCAGATACAGCACAGTAAATTTAAGCTTACACTCCACTGTCAGTGGGGCGGCCAGTCTGTCATTTCTAAAGCAAGTCATCTTCACCCTAAGTCAGTCAGTCTGTCCTCTGGTGCATTGGGCCCCTCAGGGAGACTGGGATTCTATCAGGGCAGATGATCCGTAACTGCATAGAGCAGGGGAGTCAGGCAGCTGGCTGATTTTGCTGTTGGTCAGCTGGCCTGTGGTTTTCTCAGTCTGGCCCTCATGATGTTGGTCAGCAAGGTAGTCATTCCCAGCATCAACCCACCACACTGTCAGTGGGAGCCTCCAGTATGCTGGGATTCAGTCAGGGAGGGCATTCAGTCACCAGACACAGCTGTCTAACAAGTAGCCACAGATCTGTTGATCAGTCTGGAATTCCCTCAGGTAGCCCTCCTTCACACCAAGCCAGACAGTACAACAACCAGACATTCCCTCGGGCCAGCTGTGATTTCTGACCATAGCCAGCCATACGGCCACCAGGCAGGCAGTAGCACCACAGGTCATCAGTCAGCCAGCTTACAAGGGCCCTCAGGAGGCTGCCTATTGTCTCCACTGTCAGGTTTCCAGTTCCAGCCAGTCCTGGGAAGGCTGTCACTCAGTTTCAGGAAACCATGCTGTCAGTTTCTCAAATTGCCCCTCTCCCTGTGACTTTATGAGTTCTATAGTCAACAAAATGGTTATACAATTAACCAAACAGATATTCTGTCTGCCTGCCAGTCCCTCTGTGAGGGGTTGGAGAAGTGGCAGGTTGGTCTCAGGTTCCACCAGCTCCTGCTTGCCTTGAGTTGAACAGTCAACAGTGTAAATCCCACAGGGCATCCCCTTCCCTCCCTTATCCCTTCTAGGACAGTCAGATGCTGGTCCTCTTATGCCCCTCAGTGTCCTCAGGAGGCAGGGTCCTCCCACTCTCAGAAGTTGGGAAACCTGTCTTTAACCCATGAGAGTAGTTCCAAACATGACCTCTGCCTGTCTGGATCTGGGAGGAGATAGAAGGGTCTGTGAGCAGAAGGGAGCATCTCTCACCTCTCCCCAAATGGTATGACATGGTGGGGAAAGGCCTGAAGCCTGGAGCCTATTTTTTTTTTTTTGGATGGGGCTGGGTTTGAACCTGCCACCTATGGCATATGGGGCTGGCGCCCTACTCCTTTGAGCCACAGGCTTCACCCCTGGAGCCTATCTTTGCTAATATATGGTCTCCACAGTCTCCACTATTTACTAAATCATGTGACCTTCGGCAGTTTCTTCATCTGTAAGATCTCACAAGTGGCCTTGGGGTGTGTGTCTCCTATTCATTTGGAAAATGAACCTTTCTGGACTAGCAGCATTTCACAAGACCTCAAAATTAAGAGGCCATACTGGCTCGGCGCCTATAGCTCAACCGGCTAAGGCGCCAGCCACGTACACCTAAGGTGGCGGGTTTGAATCCCCAGCCCGGACCCGCCAAACAAC